TTTTTTTTTTTTTTTAAGAAAAAAGTCCTCTCCTGTACTTGTTCAGCAAGGACCAGCGGAACTGAGGGCACGCTAGTGACTCACTAAAGGTACAACACTGTCCGCTCCAGTTGCGGATGGGTTTGTTTCCTCATGCAATGACGCAGCCTCCTTTCTCCTTGAAGGGATTCTTTTCCTCGGGAACACCCTTCACCAGGGGGTCCTCGCCGGACCTCTCCTCGATGTAATTCTTGATCTCTTCGGAGCACTTGGACACCTTCAGTGAAGGAACAAAGACGTTGTTGCATTATACCCACAACTCACGTTGCACATCAGAACAGCAAAGCTAGTTAGCTTAATTCATACTTTTCTTTCTCTTATTTACCCTCCTATTAAATATAAAAGATCTGACCGCATGGCAAGCACTAGGCAGCTATAGACTTCGCTTCCTTAAGATAACACTTTTTCAGAGCCTGATGTTCATAGGATGTGTGAATATCACTGGAAATTTGTGTGTCATGTGGAAGAGCAGTTGCTGCACAGGTCAATTTCCTTTTTTGTTTTTAGTTAACCAATATAGTTGTATTAAACTAAGCATCACACAAATCTCCCCTCAATACCATCATGACTTACGCTCAACTCCTTCCGGATCAGTAACATTTCGATTCAACAATGTAGTATCTATTTTCTAAGTATGTATAACTTCATGTGTCTTTCCCAAAGAAAACATTCAAAAATGATTTTTCAGTAAGCTGATACATCCTGTCACCATGTAGTTATACCACAGCAACTGTGTGTGCTGAATGGGACTAAAGAATTAACTGGGAACGAAAATTTACTGACAGGTTGCCTGGGGTTATTTCAAATAATAGTTAATCATATATCCTATTGTGTTACGAAAGAATATAATGTGCATGATATTTTGCATGACATTCATAGCAAAATAGCAATGATGTGCATCTCCATAAAAACCCATGACTGAATAAATGGGTTTGGTTTGCATTCTCTGAAATGAGAATACATGCAGCAAGTCTAATAACGCTATTTGTGGAGCCTGGGAGCATAAGCAGATCCACAGACTCCAAAAGATCCCTATTCATTTTCATCTCATTTCTCTTCTTTAGGGTAGCAGAATCTGTCCTTTGATGCTTGAACATCTGAAAAGTGTGAGGACGTGAGCTCTTTCCCCACCTCTTCCCTTCATGTTCAGAAATACCTGCAGAGACACAGTAAAGCAGAGTCAGCAGAAGGAACCATCTGTTGGCCTGGTTGGAAGATGGCTATTATTTCTAATTTAAGGCTCCTTGCCTTCTTTGTTGACTATATTTTACTCTGTAGGTATAATTATGATAAGAGCCAACCAATTTACATGTTCTTTTAGAGGCCAACAGACCACGGCCTGTGAAGAGTTATGCCTTAAGCCATTAGAAAGAACTCTGCGTTAATTCCTAACTAAAAGGTGCATAACATAAGATCTGATTACTTATATCTATCACACAGCGGGAAGAATTTGGAGCTGCAAATCCTATTGCACATATGCCTTGTTCTTCTCTTAGCAAACCTGTTAATTCAAACTGGGAGGCACTTTTTGCTATAGGTAAGTTGTACTCCTGAGTGTTTGCAGGACAGACACTCTTTAGTTAAGTCAACACTATCAGTACCTTTTTCGTGTATAAAGAAAAAAAGTCTTCTTATATACCCATTTGACATTTCTATTAATTCAAAAAACTATTTAAAAGGACATTTTCTCGTTGTGCTGTACATGTGTAGGAAGTGGGAGAAAGGGTCAAGAAGAATTTGGCTAAACATATTTTCGTCAAGAACAGAGGTGTGGAATCTGAATTTGAGTGTATTCATAACGGCTATACAGATACTGATGAACGGTGACATCTAAAACACAAATTTCATTTTCATGCAGTGAAACTTTTTATAAAGTGCAATGGTAAAACTGAGGATGTTGTCTGTGTTTTATTACAAAAGATTGCAAAATATTAATTTCCCTAAAATGGTTAGCCTTTTGGTTTATTCAGAATATTTAGGCAAGAGTTTAATTTTTTCTTAAGGAAAATTGAAATCCTGCAGAGCGTATTTCAGCTGCTTGGGAGCTGTGAGGGATGATCTAGTGCTTAGACACTGTCTGGCCATCAAAACCGCTGGAGCTTTGGCCCATACCATAACATATTACTGATCTTTAAGGGACAGCTAAAACATAACTGTGGCATTGTTATTTTCTGGGCTAAATTCCTAGACCTGCAAACTTGGAATCTGAACAACGTAATTCACATGTGTAGTTCCACTGATACCATTATATAAACGCATTTACAGTCCCAAATAGAAGTGGTCATTTAGATGTAGTCTTCTTTCTGCTAGCACGCACTCTAAAAGAGTTTTATCATGGGGTCGGGCCCAGGGCAGCTAGTCCCGCTCCGGGCTGCGCTGCTGCTATAATTTCTCTCTCTGTTTGGCGTCCCAGGGGCCAGCACGTCCAGCCGCTGCTCCGGGAGCCGAAGTGCGCGTTTTCTCTCCAAATCCCAGG